GGTGATAATATGCAATGTTTTCAATAAATGCTTAATGGAAATATAATTTACTTTTGTTGGTTCTAGGCAGGATGATTGATTGATGATAAATAAAAAAGATTGGTCTTGTCATTTTCAGAGCTGTATTTAACTATACGACCATAATTCGTAGCATAAATAATTACCCTGGCAGCAGAGTTTGGGCAATGAACAGCAAGCAAAGCACGAATGAGATGAGGCACGATCGAGCTGATGTTGGTTTATTTCATTAAAGCCCTAATTCTGCATCTTGCCATAATTTAAATTTTATTCTCTAAGATGGACTCTTCATTGAAAAGGTGATCAAAGGTATTTTCCCAGAGATTCAGGTCCCATGAATCAGTTGAGTTAAATGTAATTTTTAAATATCGAAATTATTAAGAACACATCCTGAAATGCATTTAAATTTTTTAAATATCTACAAAATGCTAATATTATTTCCAATTATTTGTACGAATAATGTGTCTATTATGTATGTATTTATATCATTACATCTCTCCCTAAATGGAAGAAGTTTACATAAACTGAACTTTTAAAAATATATATTTTTTTCCTCCTTGTAAGCTTCTTTGATCAAACGAATCCAGTAGATGATTTGTGGAAATGAAACTTAGGATACTACGTCTTCATCATGTAACCTCTTCCAAAAATACTCTGGATTTTTTTTTTTGATAGAAAAAAAATGTTTTCACATCATTCTTGCTGTAGTCATATGTGAAATTTACCAAATTGGAAGAACTATGATGATAGGGTCGAGCCCAGGATAACCACAATTTCACAGCCCATTTTAAAAACGCCCCTTTTCTCTCAGACCATCTTGTAGAAGACAATTGTGGCTTTATGCATGTATAAAGAATTACTTAAAAAAGAACATTTTGAAAAAGGGCTGTTAATATGATCTATGTGCTGTGTTAATATGATCACAAATCCCCCAGTCCTTGCCGAGTAGTAGACAGGCTGGGCTTGGTTTATAGCCCCTCCAGGAAATCTTGGAGATTCACGTCATTAGATAGTCTCATTATTCACTGTGGATAAACATTCTGGCCAAAATATGTTTGAGGTTTTTTCTTTAATAGTCCACATTTAAAGTATTTGGTGTACTAAAATAATAAAAAATTTACACATTAATAATTCATTACTAGATGACATTAAATGTTTTTCACTACATGCTAGGCTCAGTATTACATTTTTTAAAATTTAATCCTCTTTCTTTATTGCATGTAAACTATTTGCACTTCAAAACTACCTGCACTTAGTAATGATGAAAACCCGTTTTGTTAGTATACTTATCTGCTTTTACAAAGGAGGAGATCAAAGCTCTGCAAGGTTAAATTATTGGCCCAAGTTTACACAATTAGAAGGAGTGGAACCAGGATTTTCATCTAACTTTGGTAAATGCAGTCTCTTGAGTAAAGTCATTTGTGTTATAGGCCTCTCTGCTTTGGGTGACATGAGGGAAAGTAACGTGAAATCTCAGAGATTGAATTTCCTTATCTGTCACTGTAAATAATTATACTGTACTTATCTCAAGGGCTGCTCTGAGGATGGGTGAGGCAGTGCATGGAACGCAGCCCAAACCCATCCTGTCTAATTCACTTTGTCACCCTATTTTGGGTTTATTTCATCTTTGAGGTTATAATTAGTATGAAATGAATTCTGGAGTGTTCCATCTTCCTCTGATCTTTGAAGGATTTTGTATAAAATTGCAATTTTCCCTGTCAAATATTTTTCAGTATCAGCTTTTAAATTCATTAGTGCTTAATTGTTTAATAAATATAGTTATTATATTCAGGTTTTATAGTCTTATAGGACAACGTCTAGAAGTTCATTTTATGAAGATGATGCTAATCTCCAAGTTTTTATTTTGCTTTGTTTCTTGAATGGTATTAGAAATTTTAAATATTTCAGATTGATGGCTAGCTACAGATCTAATTCCACTATCTTCTGTTTTGAATTGCTGCTGTTTGGATGATTACTCTCTCTTATGGCCATTCCTTGGGAAGGCATTTGTGTTTTCTCTCTGGCTGCTTTAATAATATTCTTCTTGACTTTGATTTTGTAATTTTAATATGAAATACCTACTTGTGAATCTATTATCACTGGTAACATTGTTTTTTAAGAAAAATATTTTCCAAATGTAGAGATTCATAGTTCAAATTACTTCTGGAAAGAATATTAAATACTATTAAATCTGGTTTCTTTGCTACTATTTTTCTCTGGTTCTTCTGAAAAGTCAAGCACATGTACATTACATATTCTCGTAAGTTTGTGTTTTTCTCAATAGTTTGCATTTCTGTTTTAATAGTGTCTCATTATTGAATCTCTCTAAACTTTCCATTTGATCTCACACGTGAGGAATTCTGTGAAATGATTATTTCAGTAAGTTCCTGTGCCATAAATTCTAATTAATAACTTAGTGGGTTTTTCTTTTTTGCAATTTTAATGTTTGTGTTTATGTTTTTCTTTCTTAAAAGTGTTATATTTTAGGGTGGTGCCTGTGGCTCATTGAGTAGGATGCTGGCCCCATATACCAAGTGTGGCAGGTTCAAACCTGCCCTCAGCCAAACTGCAACAAAGAATAGCTGGGTGTTGTGGCGGGCGCCTGTAATCCAGCTACTGAGGCGGTTGAGGCAAGAGAATCACCTAAGGCCAAGAGCTGGGGGTTGCTGTGAAGTGTGACGCCATGGCACTCTGCTGAGGACGACACAGTGAGACTCTGTCTCTAAAAAAAAAAAAAACAAGAAAAGTACTCTATTTTACTTTTTCATATTTGCCTTATACTTCTAATAGTCTTTAACTTTCAGCTCTTTGGACACTTTTAAACTATTTTGTAACATATTATTCCAAAGTGGAGTGTTTGGAAGTCATCTTCTGTTTGTCATTAATCTCCCTCTCTCTGGGTGATACTGACTGTGTCCTCCTGTTTTACATCTTGATAAGCAGGTTCAAATCCGGGAGGGTTTATTTAGAGAAGACATAGAGGCCTGGGATGAAGATTTGTTCCCCCAGAGAGGATTTGATTTCACTTTTTCAAAGCTACCCATGGACGAATAAATGTAATTTCTTTAACATTATTGTGATTGCAATTTACTTGATCGTATTGTTGGTAAAAATTAGACCTTAAGCTTTAATAAGTGCAATGCTTAGAAATTCTCAGGGAGAAATAAGGTTTTCACCTTGTGCATAGGCTACAACAGACAAAGACACACACACACTCACACGCACACTTGAGGTCTAACAATTAAGTTCGCAAAATCATCCTAGACAAGTACTGCAGACCTCATTGCTGAATATCACCTGGGGACTTTCGAAGTATTCCCTTTAGCCGTCTGGTGCCCTTAGTGATATTTAGCAATGACATATGTAACACTTTCTGTGGAATGAGTTCGTGAACTTAATTTTCAGACCTCAGTGACAGCTCTAATGATCATTCCAGAAAAAAAAAGAGTTCCAAAATTACTTCAAAGGGTAGACTAGGCACTGGTGTTGGTGCAGAGCTTCCCAAGGGGGGGGTACTTCAAATACATACACATATATATGATATATATACATAATATATTTATATATACATGTATACAAATACATATATATTATTATATATTACACATATATAATACTATACTATACTATCTGTGTGTGTGTATTTCCCCCTAATCTCTCTCTTCATCTGAGGGTTATTGAAGGACTCAGCTTTGTTGGGACAAATCTTGGTATTCAGTTAGCTCTGGGTTACTTGGACTGACAAATGTTCTAGAGTTGAGCATAAGGATACGTTTGGATTCCTGTGACTTTCAACATTTGGTTTCTATGATGTTTTCTTATCTCTTGAGGATTAGCTAGTGATATAAAGAATGTTTATTATATTTTATTCAGCAAAACCAGGTTTTTCTAAACTGTACAATTCTGAGACAGAAAAGTCTGAAAGGAACATTCTCCCTGCATGAGAAACATGCCAGCACCTTAGCCTTCTCCTCACACGGGGGTTAGGTGACATTTGGAGGCACTGTCCCTGTATTTCTTGAAAGCCTTAACCCTGAAGATTTTCTGAAGCCCTGAGGTCTCTGCAGAGGAAAGACTATTGTTGCTTGGAGAACACATCCCTTGGCCTACCCTGTTTCATTGCTGTGATTTCTTCCCCAATGCTTGTGTAACTGGAAGGTGACCAGTGTTTCCCAGTTGGCTCTATCCTTTCCTGGTTTTAGAACTGAAACTCTGATGTCCCCCAAGGTGAAGCCCCTTTGTCCCTTGAAAATCAGGCAAATTATATAATATTCTCGAGTAGTTGAGAAGTACATGTTGGAAACTATCACTTGATAGTACCTTGCAACGCCATTGAAATCTGGGAGTAGTTTCTGGAATGACCCTTCTGACTCCCATGGGTCTAATAGTGCCCTTGACCAGCAGCCGTTCCACATGCCACCCAGGAAGCTGAGATGGGAGCACAGTCCAGTCTCTTTCTCCCTCAGCAGCAAGCCCATATCACACTCCTGAGATGGGAACACAGTCCAATCTCTTTCTCCCTCAACAGCAAGCCCATATCACACTCCTGAGATGGGAGCACAGTCTAATCTCTTTCTCCCTCAACAGCAAGCCCATATCACACTCCTTTCACTGTTTCTCTGGAGCATCTCAAAACTTTCTCATGTTTTCCTATGAAAGCTCAAGATCTGCAACCTGTCCCCCTACATATAGAAAGCTCTTAAAGCCAGCGTGGAATCCAGAAGGATTAAATCCAAACAGCATTTCCCCAAGTGGAGATATTCTGGTCTAAATCCACACCCTAAGAGCTGCTGGGACTAGCATTCGAGATGGTTCAGCTGTCTATCCATAGGACTTTTGCATCCAACATTCCATTTTTTTCTGTTCTTAACAATTTCATAGGTATCTAATGGCTCATTGTATAATTTTTGTAGTAAAAGGAAACAATAAGGATATTTCTCACATTATTTCAAGATAAATCTTATGTAGAGGGACTACAATTTGTGCTCACTTCAGCAGCACATGTACTAAAATTTGAACTGTACAGAGGGGATTAGGATGGCCCCTGGGCAAGGACGGTAAACAAATTCGTGAAGTGCTAAAGAGTCTATAATGTTATGACTGAAAGTTTGATTTTTAGTGGATTATTTACAATGAGCATAAGTTCATTATTGATAAAAGTTATTTCTATGCAAATACATGTAATTGATAAATATATGTACATATGCGCATATGTATATATTGCCCTTGCATTAGAAGTGATAACGATTCAAATTACATAAAACTGGGTATATGTATAGATGTCCACTCTGCATCTTGTACACACATTTTATTATTTGTTTATTTTTTATGACAATTTAGGAATTGGGTTTTGTCATATTTTTGTTATTAGATTATGTGTGTACAAACAATATATAAAAATGCAGAAATTTTTTGTGGAAAGATTTCTAAATAAAATTTATTCAATTGTAAGTACAATGAGAGGCATTTGTGAGAGGATCAGGAACATAAAGTTAATACTTAAATTTCAACTGATAGAATAGGCTGTCTTTTATTTTTATAAAATATGATATAGATAGGATGGTGGCTCACACATGTAATCCTTGCATTCTGGGAGACTAACCTGGGTGAATCTCTGGAGCTCAGAAGTTTGAGACCAGACTGAGCAAGAGTGAGACCCCATCTCTACTAAAAGCAGAAAAACTAGCTGGGTGTGGTGGTGGGTGCCTGTAGTCCCAACTACTTGGGAGGCTGAGATAGGAGGATCGCTTGAGCCCAGGAGTTTGAGGTTGCTGTGAGCTAGGCTAGTGGCACTGCAGTCTGGTCTGGGGCAACAGAGTGAGACTCTATTTCAAAAGAAGATCAAAAAAAGAATATGATATAGATTTTTTTTTTCTAGGAATACCTATTTGTTAGTGCTCTGAGGAAGTGTCACTGGAGACTATTATTTCCTCTCCAGACATACAGCCTTGATAGTTAGAGTAACCATTCACACTGACTTGCCCATAATCATCAAAAATATTTGTAAAATCTTACATTTTCCAGGCCATAGATATGGCCATAAAATTGCTGAGGCTTCAAGGACACCCTGAAGTGGTAATTTACCTGAATAACAGACTTCTTTGCCTTCAGTGCTATGATTGATTTACATTGAAAAGGCATTCATCATTGAATCGAAGTTTTGTCTGAAACTATTGCAGGCAAAATAATTCAATATTCTTTACCAAGCTAGGTTCAGTCAGTTTTAAATCTAAATTATGTTTTGGGAAATCTTAAATATTATAGAAACACCTCATATTCATAACAAATGAAATAAAA